TCTCTCTCTCTCTCTCTCTCTCTCTCTCTCGCTTATTCTCTCTCTCTCTCTCTCTCTCTCTCTCTCTCTCTCCTCGCCGTCGCTCTACTGGATATGAAGCTGAAACCCCTCAGAGAGTTCACCAACACCATCTCCAGAATTTCCCCACAAATGTTTTCTTAGTCTGCTTCTATCATCAAATTCGCGATTCCAAGGAGATCGTTACCATGGATTACTACTAATTATAGGCCCTTCACGGTTCGTTCTCTATTGACTTTTACTTCTCTCATCAAATTCTGAGTTTTCGATCTTGTTTCAATATTTATGGAAATCAAAAATTCCGGTGATTATCTTCAACTTAAATTGGTCATGCGGATTATTTGTAGAATTGTGGTATCACAGATCCTCCTTGGACATGAGACGATCCTCCAAGGACATGCCGCTGCTTTTGGGATGACATTGCAATACACTAGCTTTTTTTAGGAATTTCTTTCTAAATAAATTAGGAAACTTTCCTACATATTTAGGAAGATCTTCCTAAAACTTTTCTTATCTGATATATCTATTAAGAACGTCATTTGTAGGGTTTGAATATTGATTTAGGGTTCTAGTGTTGGGATTACTAGAAGAAACGTCTTTTAACTAGAATTATGTTTTCTAGTTAGTGCTGCTCATATATATGAAGTTGCATCTTGCAGCACTGGAGCTTCTTCCCAAACTTTGGTGGTGTGGAGAATTACATCTATTGACTCTGAATGCTTGTTAAAGCTCGGACACAAGTCAGTTTAACCACAGAGATTGATGCTAAAGTTCTCACTTCCACTAAAGTTGAAAAGCTATAAGAAAATAAATTTTCCCGAAGCAATCTGATATGGCATATGACATGGGGTCTCTGTGTAATGATAGGGATTCATTATATATCCAAGTTAAGTGAAAAGTTACAAAAGACATAAGTACCAAGTTAAAATCTTTTTCATTTGATCAAATAGTAATGGGTTAACATACGATTTAGGAGGACATTCTTAAATTTGTAAAACTCACTCATGAAAAGTCAAAAAAGCTTCCTAAATTTGAATTTAGAAAGCATTTATAAATATTTAGAAATCATTCATACAAATTTGGAATGAGTGTTTGTACATCATAATTTACAAAGTCGATATACATATTTAGGAAAACCTTCCTAAACCGTAAAAATTCATAAAAATGGTAACTTTTGTGTCTAACTCAAATTAAGGAAGTCATCCTACATATTTAGTAATGTCTTCATAAAACGTATAAATAAGAAATTTGTGCCTATGTATACAATGATGCAAATTTAGGAAGCTGTTCTAAACATTTAAGAATGCATTCCTAGATTTATAAATAGACAACAATTGTTTTAAGAGAATCTTACTAAAATCTGTATGAATTTGTCCAAGAAAAGTCTTCCTAAATTCTGTGTTAATTACTACTTGATCAAATAATAAATAGATGTCTTTCTAAATATTTAGGAAAACCTTCCTAAAGTTAGGAAGACTTTATCAAATAAAAAAATGAATCTAGCTGTTTCACGAACAACGGCTAGCAAAGCCAGAAGACCACATAGCTGAAGATATGATCCAACTCCATCACAGATTCTCATATGCGCAAATCCAGTTTCCTGAATAACATAAACTGGCCTTAGACAACAAAATGCAGAAGGTGTGATGTTTTTTTAGATGTGAAAAAAAACTATATGCATACCTTGATGAACTCGAGTTTCAGATACTCTGCCATATCATAATTCTTGAGTATACGGAAAAACGTTGAGATAACGTCAGTTGGTGATACGATCCTAGGTGATCAACTCCGAAGAAAAGGCTACTGAAGATGCGATGGACTCGTAATGGTGGCTTGGTGATCGAGTGGATGACTCGCGATGGTGGGTGGATGCGATGAGAAGCGGTGGTGTGAGCGTGAGATCGATGGTATGGTGATGATGAGATGATATCGATTGTTGGTGAGGATGAGATGATATCGATGGAATGGAGGGATAGAAGAATCTCTTGTAAACAGATTAGTTTTTAAGAGATTCGAATTTCAGAGTTTTTAGTTCTCAGAAATCAAAGAGAGAAGAACACGTTAAAAGTTTGATCAAAATTCTTCACTGAATAATACTTAGGCGATTTTCTCTCTTAAATAGAGTTAGAGAGAAATCGCAGCCCTAATACAAAACTACATGAAGTCTGAAATAAAAACAACACGAAGTTTGATTAAAAAATAAAACAGCGAGGCGTCCCTTCTAAATCCTAAGTGGTGCGCCTAAAACAACTAGTGCACAAGTCATTGTGACTTTGCACATTATTATCCATTAGTAACAACTTCTAAGTAACTCGACGTAGCAATGATTTCTGCCTCGTTAAAAACCTTGGAGAAGAACCTCCTTGCCTTCCAAAATCCTCACCAAGGAAAAGAGTACAGAATCATCACCTAAGTTACCTAGTCATTGTTACTGGGTTCTTCATTCTTCAAGATAGAGATATTGAAGATGTGAGCTCCAGCCTCCAGTTGATCGATGTCCTCTGCAGCTATGAGTGCGTGAGCCTCCTTAGCCATCTCTCTAGCTCTGGAACGAGTAATCCTGCCAGCTACCTCTGGTTCCTCCTCCTCTGAGCTGGTCACGATCATATCAGTTGGAGAGTACTAGCCTAGATCGTATAGCTGCTTCATGCGGTGACAAACATCATCAAACTTACTTTCCAACCCATTGCGAACCATGTTTTTGACATGTAGTGGGTGAGGAAAGTCACAGACCTGAAACAAAATTGAGGAAATAAGTGGAGAGATTCAAGTTATGATTAGAAGCTAAGTGAATCAAGGATTTGTATCGAACCTTGGAGACGTTTTCTTGGTTGACAAACCGAAAACCGCTGAATGTGGCTTGCAAGTTGTTCAGAGCTTGCCTCATGTCACCATCAGCTGTGAAGATTATCGCCTCAAGGCCTTCAGGTATAAACGGAACCTAGATTGAGAACACAAATTAGAAATGTCGACATTTCAGGTAATAATCATATTGCTTAGCTTTCTTTATTGTTGGTTACAGATAGATTTGATTTCTTAGCCAAGGCAAAACAGGGGTCTGATTCATGGTATGTAAACATGTAGAACGAAAGAAAAGTGGCAGAATCCATACATTAATCTCTGCTTGAATCACCATCATGAGACGGCCTAGAATCTCCAGATCAGATAATCTAGAGAATCGAACTAGGGCGCATCTATTCTGAATGGGCTCAATAATCTTGGCTGATGTGTTACAAGCAAGTGCAAACCGAGTAGAGTTTGAATAGATCTAAATCGTCTCATCAATGCTTGTTGTGCTCCAGATGTCATGCTAATTTTGCAAACCAAAACAGAAAAAACAGCACAATGAATCAGAAACACTTGATTCGCACAACTCAAAAAGAAAGTGGCAAATCCAAAACGGTGAAAACGCAGAGAAAAGGATAAAGATTCAGGTAAAAGCCACTAACTTAGCAGCACGAACCTATCAGCTTCATCGAGAATGACAACCTTATATGCCCTGGAGGAGGTGTTAATTTCTTCTGCGCAAACATCTTAATTTTGTTCCAGCGAAGAAGATACCCAATCTAGGGTTGGTACCCAAAAAACTCACACAAACAAAAGGAAAATTGATTACCGCTTGAAGATACGACTCCGTCAACGATCAATTTCTGGCGATTACACTTCGAAGATTCCGGCAACGGTGGATATCTAGATCGCTATATGATTGGATGAAAGTTTTCGAAGAAGATCGAAATGGAAATAGAAATCGTTTTTTTAATTAATACAATGCTATATTGGTCCACACTAAAAAACAGAGCTCTTTTTGTCAGTTTAAAGTTTTTTGGGGCCATTTTAGAGAATTACGTAATGAACATCTAGACTTAAGTGTTGATTGGTTCACCTGCTATCACCCGCAAACGCAGTGTTTGTGGTTGGTAACGGTTAGTGGCGTTTTATCACAATCATAGAAATCGCTGCAAACCGCTCCGTATCATTTTATACTGCTGAAATCCAGAAGCTGCTTCCTGCCAACGTTTGCGGTTGCGGGCAGTAGCGGTTGGATAAAAATTTTAAAAAAAAATAAAATCACGCTAGAAAAATAAAATAAAAAATCACGTTAAAAAAAATTATAAAACTCTAACCCTACTAATATTCTCCTCTATATATATATAAACCCACTTTCATATCAATTGAAGAAAATTAAGATACAAGTAAGTGCCATAATATTTTGGTTTAATTCATTTATATTAATTTTTCTGTTTCCACTTTTAAAGTAAAAAATTATAAATATGTATCTTATTAATTACAAAATTAGTTTGTTATAATTCTTTTTTTTATTCTTCAGAAAGTTACATGATCAAACGAGATGATATGTGCGTTACTTCAACGAATCATTGTTAAAAATAAATTCAATATATAGATTTTTGAGTACACTCCAGAAAAAACGTATTTTGAATACTAATGAGCAATTTGGAGTTGATTTGAGTTGGTGGCGTGCAAAAAATCGATTAGATCAATTGAAAAAATTTTACATCATGCATAAGATAATCCAGGATGTCTACATATTGGAACAATTTTTTCCACTCTATTACATTATTAGACACAATTTTAGATGAAGTTCCCAATAATTGAAATAAAATAAACTATTATAAAATTTATTAGTTTTTAAAATAATTATTTAGCATTTATTTATAATTTTTATTAATTATTTTAAAATAGTGATTTTGATATTTATCATAATAAATTAATAATATAGTTTTTATTTTCTTATAATTATATATGATGTTTATTTTGGTAATTTTATGTTTAACCGCTAAAACAATCGCTGGTTTGTCAGTCAAAAATGTCCCGTAAATAAACATGTTTTAAAAAGTTTAACCAGTCGTGTAAACCTTTGAATAACGTTCAAAACCGCAATCGTCTGTTTCCGCAAACTCCCGCACTCGCAACCGCTAAGCTCTAATAGTTTGAATTTTTAAGATTATTTATTTTAATGCAGTAAAAAATTATTTTATAGCCTTCCTTGGGAATAGAAAATAGAATTTCAATTCGAGGCTTAAGCTTGATACAACACAGCACAACACAAGACGACACGAAAACAAATGAGAAACAACGTATTATTAACGCATCGCAACACTATTCCTTGAGATGTTGACACGTGATCTTTTGCTACCCCTTGGATTGCTGTTACAGTCAAAGCTTACACCATCTCCACCAACCATATCCGTAAACATCCGTTGCAAGTCCTCTAAGCTGTCTCCCTAATAATTAATCAAAGACCGAATCGGTTCGTCAAAATTAAATTATACTTTTAAACCGACAAATCTGTAACCAATCTTTGATCAATTACAAACCCGTCTTTATCGTATTATCAAACCGGTTCATTATCGGTTTAACCGGTATATCAATTAAAATTAATATAGCTTTTAAATCTTTGATAAAATTATTACAAACCCATCGTTATCGTATTTCCAAACCGGTTTGTGATCGGTTATCGATGGTCAACTTTGGTAAAGAAAAATTGACCAAAATAAAGGAAACGCACAAAATCGAATATAGCAATGAATCTAACCAGCCCTTCCAACGGAAAAAAATGAAAGCAAATTGTTAAATTACAAATCTAGCTTTGGATCTTTTACTTCATCATATTATCAAAAACCGATTAATGAACGATTAACCGTGACCAAAACAATCTTTAGTCTGAAAATCCACCAATATTAAGGAAATCGCAAAAATACTGAATTAACCGGTCTCGAATTACATGCATAAACTGTATAAACTAGAGTCACAGGACGAAACATTTTGGGTCTACATATTAACCAATAATTGTAGTTGTTAAACCGGCTGGTTATGATTAACCGGAAGTTGAGAATGCAACATACCTCGTCTTTGACATTGTTCATCATTGAGATCATCTCTTGCATGAAATCACGGAAGTCCTGATCACAACAATTGGGGCAATTTCAAATTCAAACATCAACAAAACAGAAAACGGAAAAATCGTAAGAGAAAAAGGAAAATAAAATTTTTACGAACTTCATCGTCATCATCATGTGGATCATATAACCCAGCGTCGTACATTGAGCGCTTATTCACGTCGTGTAAAACTTTAAAAAAATATATGTATAAAGTTAGTTATAAGGTGAGAGACGGACGTTAAGAAAAGATAACGACAGGAAATTAACGGACGTTAAAGAAGATATTTTTGAGGGAGGGAAAATGTGAAATTACCAGCATAGGCCTCTTGGATTTGCTGAAACCGTCGTTTAGCTTCTCCGGCGACACCAGGATTCCTTGCGTATCTATCCGGATGCCATTTCTTCAAACAAAATATTCAGATTCAGATTCAAATATGTCCAGACAAAATTTTCCAACAAGAAGCAGTCGATCAAGTAAGTACCATGGCGAGCTTACGGTAAGCAGTACGGATGTCGGAAACGGAGGCGTCTTTGCGAATTCCGAGAACGTTGTAGTAGCTAGATCTGACGTTGGATCCTCCTCCACCTTCGCACGCCATATTCGAAAATCGCTCCTCCGTCTCCGATCACCCCTGCGCCGTCTTCAACGATCTCTATTTCTCTCTCTCTCTCTTTCTCTCTCAATTCAGTTTCACATCATCGGAAATTAAAAGATATTCAGCTGATAAATATCAGAGAATGAAGAACAAAATATCTTTGTAGGACGAGAGAGATGGAAGTTAGAGAAGGAAACTTCGAGAGAGGGTTTGATATTTGATCTCACATGTCACGTGTTCATTTAATTTAATTGTAAAGCCCATGTAAGCCCAATCTCTGATTGGTTTCTGGTTTCTTTCATACCGAGTTAACTCGAACTGCACGTTACAACTTACCAAGTTACAAAGGGCAACAAACGGAAAAAAAGTCGATTAATACCTCAACATCATACCAATAAATAATTAAACAATTTTGATAAATTAATCAATATTTAAACTTATTAAAATCAGTAAATACATACCTCAACAATATTTTTGTGGTCAATTAGTATATTGATTTTCTGTCTGTTAGTCAAACCTGTTAACTTGCAAACGGAATCCGACTTGGATACCACCGTGGATGCTCTATTCGAATGAAACCAATACGACGCTGTTTAAGATTAAAAATCTGGAAAAAAGCAAAAACGACGTCATTTTAAATTTATTATCCATTAAAAAAAATATACCATATATATCTTCTTTCGTGGGAGAAAAACATTGATAGTTAGGATTTGGGTAGTGTTCAAAATCAAATCGGAATGACTTCATCGTCGAATGCTAACGCTTCTTCGGAGATTCATGGTAGGTTTAAGTTTGCAATTTTGGTTTTGATTTTGATTCAAACACTTTCGGAAAATCAAATCGAAAATTTCAATTTTGATTTTTTTAATGTATAATAAATTTAAAACGACGTCGTTTTAAACTTTTTCCCCTGATTTTAACTTTAAATGACGCCGTATTGGTTTCATCCGAACACATCATCCACCGTGGCATCTGAGTCGGATTCCGTTTGCAAATTAACGGGTTTGACTAACAGAGAGAAAGTCAATGTACTAATTTACCACAAAAACATTATTGAGGTATGTATTTACCGATTTTAATAAGTTCAGGTACTGATTAACCTATCAAAATTGTTTGGGTATTATTGGTACCAGATGATGGTGTTGAGGTACTAATCGACCTTTTTCCCGGCAACAAACACATAAGCAATGTTGTACAAAGAGTTAAGTGCAACACATTTTTTGTTTTGGCAAATCAGATATATTGATCTCATAAGCAAGATACATAACATCGTCAGTACAACCGTTAACGCAAATAAAGGAAATTGAAATAATTTCGATAAAGGAGAACCATGCTTTCCTGACGGAAGTCTTATAGGCTAACAGATAAAATCTGTTATATCCCCCCTTCATAAACTTTTTGTTGGCTATCATCTTTTGGTTAAAAATCCAGAATATTTTTTCTGATTAAAAGAAGAACTTGAATTGTTGTTGCAGATGTTTTTGTATCATATCTTCTAGACCTCGATAAAACATGTTGTATCTGTCTATACGCATAACTTTCCAATCCGATCATGGCGATAAAATCCACTCTAAAAATCACTGATGCGTTCATGAACATCCAATTCTGACCAATGGTAGTTGAAGATTGGCTCAAATACAAGATGAAACGCACATATAACCTCTCATATTCAACCCAACCATCTCTCTTGATGTAGTTAAATTCCATCCAAAATTTTTGTCTAAACCAAACAAAGGATTGAGACATAATAACCCATTGTCGTCTTATTGTTCTTCCGGCTTCAATTCGTTGGTGTTCAAAAGCCAAGCGAAGAAACAAAAACATAATCCAGTTATAGGCAAAATAAGAAATCCATAAGTCCATCCCACAAAAGAGAAAAACACAACGGTTTACTCCTGGATCCCATATCCAAACTTTCTCTCCATTGGAGAGGTCGACACAAAAACTTGTGGACTGTGGCCAGGTTATGCTCGGAAGTAACCTCTTTCCGAAGGAGAAAAAGAGGACATGGGGTTTAGCTTATCGGATAGTGGACCAGTACTTCGCGTCTAGACATTCTATAAAGACATTCTATAAAGACATTATATAAGGAGATTAATTGATAACTAGGTGGTAAAAAAGAATCAAGGAAAAAGTTTATGAATTATAAATATTTGGATTATATATATTATTAAATTAGTAGTATTTTTTAAGAGTTTTTTTATTTAACATCTATCTTTATTAATATGAAAATCAAGTTACATAAAAACAACAATACATAGGAATAAACATGCACAACAATAAAACAATGAAGATGAATTTTAAAGTTTCATTTCTCTGAATTTTTCTAGCTGTGAGAATGTCCACACTTTCTTTCCTCATAATTGCATTTGATCTGATGCAATTTCTTTTGCTATGATTCATACTTTCCTCTGTTGTATATCATTGACACATTTCTAAATAGGAATTAAAAATATTCTTCAAAAAAAAAAAATTCAATTTATTGATTTTTTCGAGAGAAAAAAATTTGAGATTGCCAATTTTCAACGACTGTAGGAATGTCACCATACAACCAGGAGATTGCATCTTCCGATCCAAGACCTCGTCCCTTCCAGGGCAGTTTCCATGGTTGTTATTCCCATAATAATGTTATACCTAGCAAAGTAAAATCATTAAAAAAAAATGAATTTATATCACAATTTCGCCAATAATTAAGACAAATTTGAGATTGCCTATAACACACCATCTCCATGGTGATTTTTTCCAAAGCAAAGCTAGGAGTATGAGAACATATACTTCGTTGGCGACTAACTCCAACAAAGAAAGATGGTTGAATATCTCTGGTTTGCAACAATCACTGAACAAACTCTTTGTTGAAAAAGAAAAACGGTTAGGAAAAACGGTTTTCTCCAATTCCTGCTTTACGTGATCAAGTTTCTCTTTTCCATGGTGATTATACATGTTATTACATCGAAGACAAGATCGTTATCACCAGAAAAAGAAAACTCTACTTTGAGAGAAGAGATGGTTACCTCGAAGGAATAAGAGGAACACGAGAATGAAGATGACATTTACTAATGGAGGCATCATCATTGAATCAATGGCCATAGAAGGCACAAATCAAAAGAAACGGCGTGAGAGAATCAATAAATTTTGATCTAAGGACATAGAAATCACTGGGAAAGCGGCCTATTCGTGCCTCAACTGGCCTTCCTGGTACAATTTACTGCCTGTACTCTTGAGCTGTGCCTACGCATACCTCAACTTCTAAAAATTTGAAATTTCATACCCGTACTGACTTCCGTTGCCAATTCATGCATTGACAAATTCCCCGTTAGTCAACCCCGTTAAGCTGTTAACGGATGCTGAGTCAGCTAACACGTAGGAATTTCCGTTGGAACGGAAATCGAATACGACGTCGTTTTTACCGAATCTGGGTTTAAAATTTTTTTTACAAACTCGGAGAATCGAACCCGCAACCTGTTTGCGTTCAAACGGACTTCAGAACCAGTGGACCATGTGTGAAATTAATAAACCATCACCAGTTAATAAATATAAAGCTGATTCGCATTCGTCATTAAAAAACAAGTTAAACGACGTCGTTTTACTTTTATGTGTTTTAAGAAGAATCGATCTTCTTCTTCTTTCTCTCCTTCGTCGATGTCTATCTATATTCAAAATTGGGGAAAACTCTAAACCAGGGTTTAGGGGTGTAGAAGAAGACAGAAGAGAATGGCGTCATCTTCGAGCCAAAGGACTTCTTCCGAGAATTCAGGTATGCCCAAATCTTATAATGTGAAGTAAATTCGATTTTTGGATCTAGGGTTTAGTTACAATTCGAATGTCAATTTGTAGGGAATAGTTTAAGTATGATAGCTTGTGGTGCGGAAGGATTTAGAGGAATGCCGAGAACTTGTATTTGTGGAAGCTCCACTTGGATAAGAACTTCAGGAACCTCAAAAAATCCAGGAAGATTATTCCATTGTTGTCCTAATCGGACTGAAAAGGTAAAGAGAATAGTTTAATGATTGTAACTTTATTGTGGTAGCTGGGTTTATAATCTGAATTTTGTTACTTTGATCTGGTGCTAGGACAACTACCATTTGTTTAAATGGACTGATGAAGGAATGGTAGAAGAAATTGAAGACATGAAGAAAGAGATTGAAGATATGAAGAAGAAGATTGAAGATATGAAAAACAACATGGATTCTCTGAAAACCGAGATACAAGGATGTGAGAAAGAAATGAAGGAGTTGGTAGGAGAGACATATGTCTTGAAGAGTGTGATTGTTTGTGGAGTTGTGTTCTTAGGTGCTTACTTTTGTTTTTGGGTTTAGGGAGCTCTATGTGTTTGGCTTCCTGTGTTTTTAGACTCTTGTTGTATCAGATTTTAAACTTTGGTGTATCAGGTTTTAAGTAATGCGATGGCTTTAAGCCTTTTTTATTATCCCATCTACGTAACATGAGAATAAGAGAAAGACAAACTTGAAAGAACCAAAAAAGGATTGAAACCAAACTTCTTAGAAACCAATATAAAGTTGCATCCAAGCCAGTAATAAGAAACCGATATAAAGGTTGTGCAATACAAAAGCATTCCTAAAGCCGACAATACAAAAGGAAATAAGATATAAGAGCAATAAGTTTTTTTTTTAAAAAAAGCACACCTAAAGCCGACATTTTCTACTGAGCAGGAGATCATAAACCCAAAAAATTACTCTGATTTCCTGCATATTGAACTACATTGAACTACCAATAAGCTCCACCTGCAAAATATAGATAGTAGTATTCATCACATACATTACTTTTCAGATTACCAATATCAGAAACATCTCAGAAACTTGTGAGAAAATACCTGATCATTCTCCAAAGTCTTCAGCAAACGATGGCTGAGTTTGTTGTGTTTGAGATGGACCTTCTCCTTCATCAAGTGTCATTGTCTCTGGAAAATCTGGAACTTCTGGAACATCGGTTCCTGTCTTTCTCTTCTTGGGCTTCCTAGGCTTGAATGGTGCGCCGGGGTTAGTACAATGAAGAGAATTATGTCCTTCCATATTGCACCGATAACACCGCATTGTCCTGCCATGTTTGGTAACTCTTTTACCCTTGGTTGGTGACTCCGTGACTGATTTGAGCCGTTTCTGCGGGGTTTTTTTCCTTCCCCTCTCTTTCACTCGTTCTGGTGGATCAATAGTTGGTTCAGAGCTTGTCTTCC